AGGACCCGAGGGACAAGGGGACGAGAAGCACGGAGGTAGTCAGAGAACGGAGGAGGTGCAACAGCAAGGGACGAGGGAGGAGGGGACGGGAGGAGGGGAGGACGAGACGAGCGGGAACGGAGCAACATAGGGTGGGTGGGCAGGACAGGAGAGACGGGACGAGCACGGGGGGGACGGCGAGCCCAAATGTGAGACGGAGGGGTAGGGTCAGGGGACAGCGGAGGAGACACAGGAGGGGAACGAGGAGGAAGACGGGCCGGAGACGAGTCCGGCGGCGGGAACACAGGACCGTAGACAGGGAGGTCAGCAGGCGGTGGGGGAGACACCGGCGCGCGGTCCGGTGAGGGAAGGCCGAGCAGGCGGAGAGCGGAAACCGGCGGCGACGGCTGCTGCGGCGGCGACGACGGCTGGGCCGGAACTCTCGGACCAGCAGAGGCAGAACGACCGTCGGCAGAACACTCAACAGCAGCACCCCCAGAACCAACACCCCCAGAGCGAGAACCCCCTCCAACACCAGCGGCACCCCCAGAAGCCGCAGGACGAACACCCTCCTCCACACCAGCACCCCCAGGGGCCAAGAGCGGCGGCGGCAGTGGCGCCAACGGCTGCGGCGGCTGCGACAGCGGCGACGGCTGCGGCAGCGACGGCGACGGCGGCGGCAGCGGGGTCGGCGACTGCGACAGTGGGGGCGGAGGCACCGGGGAAGGGGGACGCGGCAAGGACCGACCGGGGGTACCACCAGAGTCAGCAGACTCCTCAACGGGGACAACCGACGGGAGGGGAGTGACCTGAGAGACACCAGACGGGGCAGGACGAGGCGGGAGAGGGGCAGGGGCTACCGGGGGAGAGGGAGCAAGGAACAGGGGGGGGGCAACTGGGAGACCTCGGTGAGGGAAGCGGCGGTAGAAGGAGACGGACTCGTCAAAGGTGACGTCACGAGAGTGGAGGAAGCGGTGAGACGGCGGGTGGTAGAAAAGCCAGTCAGACGAGTCCAGGGGGAAACCGAGGAAGACACAGGGGACAGTGCGGGCAGTGAGCTTGTCCGTGCCAGAGGCACGAACGTGAGCAAGGCAGCCCCAGACGTGGAACGCAGACGCGTCACCCGGGGACCCGGTCCAAAGGAGGGTCGGCGAAACCTGCGGCCGCTGGGAGCGTGGCCACAGGTTAAGCTGGTGAGCAGCGTAGCGAACAGCGAACGGCCACAGAAAATGGGGGGCATCGGCATGGATCATGGAGGTACGGGCGACCTCCATGACCAAGCCGATGCGGCGCTCAGCAACCCCATTCTGCTGTGGCGAGTCCGGCAAGGTGTACGACTGGGTGATGCCCTCCGCACGACAGAACTGTCCAAGCCGACCAGAGGCGAACTCGCCGCCACGGTCGGAGTGGAGACACAATACGGGGAGACCGCGGTGGAGACGCGCAGCCACAACCCACGGGAGAAGAACGTCGGGCACGTCGGCCTTCCGCTCCAGGGGAAACACCGTAGTGTAGCGCGTGTAGTCGTCGACGAGCACAAGGAAGTAGCGCTCACCGCGCGGTCCGGGGACGGGGGCAGGGCCCCAAACGTCCAAGTGCAGGGTCTGAAGGGGGGCAGTAGCAGGACGCAGCGAGGAGTGAGGAGCACGGCGAAGCCGACCCTCGACGCAAGGCGTGCACGGTGGCGCAGTTGAGGGAGGAAGGGCAGGGAGCGATGCAGGGAGACCTAAGACAAGACCGTGCAGGGACATGTGACGCAGACGCGGGAGAGCATGGTGACCTAAGCGGTGGTGCCAGAGAAGGGAGGGGTGAGTGAGGGACCGACACGAGCAAGCTGCAGCGACCTGGGAGGACGCACCAACCGGGGGGGAAGCGGTGTCTAGGGTAAACAGACCGGACACCGGGTCCCGGGGGAACGTCGCAAGGGGGGAACCTGAGACAGCCTCAGAACAGACAGCGAACCGCTCGTGCCCGGGAAACGTGGTGGTGACGCCGAGGTCCTGGAGACAGCCGACACCAACCAGGTTCCTGGAGAACGAGGGAACGTGGAGGCCAGTAAGGGAGCCCGAGGGAACTGCCGGACAGGGAAGGGACGTAGAACTGCGCGCGACGACCGGACCCGCAGAGGGGTCAGCGAGAGAGACAACAGCAGGTGCAGCAAGCGGCGTGAGCGTGGAACGGTCGCGGAAGAAGCAGGCAGAAGCACCGGAGTCGAGAGTGAAGGACAGCGACGCAGTGGCGGAGGCCGGGGACGGAGCCGGTGTAGCGACTAGACTAGGCAACCTAAGCAGTCCTACGCCTTACGCAGCAGGGGAGGCTAAGCTACACAGTGGTGCAACACCTAAACTAGAGTACACAGGGTAATGAGATCCAGCAAAACTCGAAGTGTCTGAATACAAAGCATGCAAAGCAGCACCTAGCTGATCCATGTCTAACTCAAAGATCGGCACGCCCTGGCGGAGCAGGCTGTGCCAGTCGGGGAGGTCCGGGGCCGGGCCAAAGCGACGACGAAAGAGATCGTCGAGGCGGCGGAAACAGCGGGCGGTCGGGTGCGGGCGGCGGCACAGAGTGCCGCGAAGAGGCCCGGTCTGAAGCTGGTACTGGCAGGTGACAGCACCGGAGCCGCCGGTAGACGCCAAGCTGCGCGGGCCGCCACCACGGCCACTACCTCCGGAGGTGCCGGGCCAACCAGGCGGGAGACGGGCCCACTGCTGCGGCGACTGCTGCTGGGACGGTAACTGCTGCTGGGGCGGCGGCTGCGGCTGGGGCTGCTCCTGCTGCGGCTGGGGCTGCTGCTCCTGCCCACCAGTGGTAGTCCCCGCAGGCGGACTACCGTCACCACCACTACTGCCACCACCACCCCTACCCCCCTGGCGACCACGGCCACCGCGGCGCGAGCGCTGCTGCGGGTGGACCGCACCAGCCGACTCGGTGAGAGGGGCCGCCGAGGCGACCGCAGCCGAAACGTCAGTGAACGCACACTGAGAGGGGGCACAACCGTGAAAGATAGAAACTGCCGGCGCACCGCTCGACTGAGCGATAGTGCGCTGGCGAGTCTCGATCTCGGTGAGGGTGTCGACAAAGGCAGTGAGAGTGAGGGCACCCGGGTGCTGGCTAAGAAAGTGATCGCGAGCACTAGTGAGGCGGTCTGGCAGGCGCATGGCGATAAAATAGAGCGTCATGCAGAAAGGGGGGGGGAGCGCAGTGAGCTGGGCGGCAGTGCTGGCAGTGCGATAGCGGGTCTCTAGGGCACGCAGGTGAGTGGCAAAGTCTGCGACGGTAGGGAAAGCTGCAAGGTCTGGGAAAAGCATAGGGAAGAGCAGGCGACCAGCAGAAGCAGACGCGGGTGTGGAATAGCGGGCAATAACAGCGTCTAAGTAAGCGTTGGCCGTCTCAATAGTAGCAAAACGCGAGCGCTCAGAGACAGGGAGGGCGTGGCTAATGGCAACCTGAGCGACTGCATCGCGGGAGTCCCAGACCGCACGGGCAAGCGCAGCAGTAGAGAAGGTCTCACGGTCATCAGAGGAGGGATCAGCAGGGAGGGGAGCAGGTGCGGGGGGACGGGGGAGCAAGCCGTCGACATGGACAACCAAAGAGTGGCCATCCTGGCGCTGACCTGTAAGGTGGCGGCGGAGATCGGAGAGCCAGGCGGCGAAGTCAACCGCATGGCCCTCGGCGTCCAGTCGGAGCACGAAGTCCGCCATCGTGCAGGGTCAGCGGCACAGCTCCACAGGAACACAGCGACAGCCCCCTCCAGCACAGCGGCCGCGAAGCGCCTCAGCACGGGCGAGCAGCGGAGACGGAGCCCGAGGCGGCACGGCAGGACGAGCCGGGGCGAAGGGGCCAGGCAGGTGCGGTGGGGCCAGGCAGGTGCTGGCGGGGCCAGGAAGGCACGGCGGGGCCAGGCAGGCGCGGCGGGGCCAGGCAGGCGCGGCGGGGCCAGGCAGGCGCGGCGGGGCCAGGCAGGCGCGGCGGGGCCAGGGAGGCGCGGCGGGGGCCAGGCAGGCGCGGCAGGGCCAGGCAGGTGCGGCGGGGCCAGGCAGGCGCGACGGGGCCAGGCAGGCGCGACGGGGCCAGGCAGGGCGCGACGGGGCCAGGCAGGCGCGGCGGGGCCAGGCAGGCGCGGCAGGGCCAGGGAGGCGCGGCGGGGCCAGGCAGGCGTGACGGGGCCAGGCAGGGCGCGACGGGGCTAGCCAGGGCGCGACGGGGCCAGGCGGGCGCGACGGAGCCAGGCAGGGCGCGACGGGGCTAGGCAGGGCGCGACGGGGCCAGGCGGGCGCGACGGAGCCAGGCAGGGCGCGACGGGGCCGAGTGGGCGCGACGGGGCCAGGCAGGGCGCGACGGGGCTAGGCAGGGCGCGACGGGGCCAGGCGGGCGCGACGGAGCCAGGCAGGGCGCGACGGGGCCGAGCGGGCCCGACGGGGCCAGGCAGGGCGCGACGGGGCTAGGCAGGGCGCGACGGGGCCAGGCGGGCGCGACGGAGCCAGGCAGGGCGCGACGGGGCCGAGCGGGCGCGACGGGGTCAGGCAGGGCGCGACGGGGCCAGGCAGGGCGCGACGGGGCCAGGCAGGGCGTGACGGGGCCAGGCGGGCGCGACGGAGCCAGGCAGGGCGCGACGGAGCCAGGCAGGGCGCGACGGGGCCAGGCAGGGCGCGACGGGGCTAGGGTGGCGCGACGGGGTTAGGGTGGCGCGACGGGGCCCAGGAGGGGCGCGACGGGGCTAGGGTGGCGCGACGGGGCTAGGGTCGCGCGACGTGGCCCAGGAGGGGGGGGGGGCGACGTGGCTAGGAGGCGCGACGGGGCTAGGAGGCGCGACGTGGCCTAGCTAGGGTACGTGCGGAAGCGGTAGGTGGGGGATGCTAACCTACGCGTGATACCATGTCAAAGTGAGAACGAATAATGACTAGAGGTAGAAACCTAGAACAAATACTAGTTGGTTGTACTCACTAGAAGCATACCTCAGTCTAGCCTATAACTTCTACATAGATAATATGTATAAGTTAACAAAAGTAGCTAAAAAAAATACCCTTACAGAAAAAGTGGCAGCAAGCGAGTACCCTTACAAGAAAAAGTACTTCGAATCCTATCCAGAGGCCTGGACAGAGGCATACAAGAAGGGGTATTGTACCCTCTACAGCAGTATTCAGTAATGGTATACAAAGCCTATAAATTGTAACTTATATAATTTTAATACCTAGTCCCCTGACACTCATACTGTATGTTACCAAACGCGGGTGAGAGTAGGAACAGGGCATGCAGACACGAGGATGCCAGTGAATGCAGCAGTAATTTCTGTACGTCTTTATTTGTAGTCAACGTGTACCAATTTTGCATATATATTCATCGAAGCTCTCGCTGTATCAAGGACAAAAAAACAGCAAGAATTGCTTGACCCGTCATTCACTGACTCGAAACCCGGCATTCACATCGTGCGACTCGAGTTTTGTCAGAGAGGCTGATCTGTAACTACGTAACCCCCCAGGCAGAGAGATGGCTTGTAGCCCTTCCCCGAGGATCGAGGCAACCCCAGCGTGTCTCTTGACAAGCATACATAGTCTACGATTGTTTATCCCTCCCGCCGCTTGGGGCATGAGGATGTGTGGTCAGATTACAGCTCTTAAGAAGATTGATCAATCGTTGTAATACCCTACGATAGTCACATACGCTTCACCTCGCCGGGAACGTTGTGCCAGGAAGGATAGCCCTCAACGGTTGCCACCGTTACAGGCCTTGATGGGTTCTTTGTACAAACTCCCTCCACCACTGCAATTTGAAACAAATGGGTGGTGGGGGAGGACGACGACGAGATAGTAAAAGGTCACGAGAAGGGATGGAGACAAGCATAAGAAAAAGGTAAGAAACTGCATATCAAGGAGGTGTGAGCATACATACCGTATTGTATTTGTCTGAAAACTATGATCTATGTACTAAATTATATATGTTAGTATATAATTGTAGGTTTGGTAGTGGTTACTGAACATTTCTGTAGAGGGTACAACACTCCTCCTTGTATCCCTCTCTCTTCTTTTCTAGTTACTCTTTTCTCTCACCAACTTTCCTACCATAAAACATCACGCCATTTCTATGGCTCCTACTACCTAGATTATAGTTTTCAGATCTAGTAACAGAGCAACTCCCTTCCGGGCCTGCTCCCCTCGCTTCCGCCGCGCACTCCTTCCCCGTCATGCCGCGCGCTGGCCCCGTCGCGTCGCACGGGCCACGCTTCCGCCGCGTACCCGTCCTTACTTCGCCGCCGTCGCGGCCTTCCGTTTGCCTGCCGCCGTGGCACATTTTTCGAGATGCCGCGGCGGCCTCTGTGTGCTGTCGTCTCAGCGTCAACGAGCAGCCGCGGCTTCGACGCCACGCTGTGGTGGCGTCGTAGTGGTGCCGTGGCGGTGTCGTCAGCCTGTTGCCGTCGCGCACCACCTGCGTCGCTGCTGGACTTGCAGCCCGCCCGCACGCCAGTAAGCGCCGCGCCAGCAATGGCGCCGCGCTGAAGATCTGAAATCCCGCCCCTTCCCTCTTCTCTCTGTCCCCTCCTCTTCGCCAAAGCTGTCGCCTGACTCTCGTCGGTCGTCCCTCTAACGCAGAGTTTGGACATGCCGCCGGAAGGGCGGGGGCCGCTGCCGTTACCGTTGTCGTAAACCGAAGCCATCGCCGTCGCCGCTGTCGTCGCCGCAGGCCTGTTGCCGCCGCACGCCCGTAGTCGCCGTCGCTGTCGCCGCTGCCGGGACGGCTGCCGTCGCCATCTCCAGGGCCTTGGGGTTGGGCCCTGCTGGAGTAGTCGTGGCTGATGGGAATGAGGATGCTAGGCTAAGGGGTGTGGGGGTGTGTGGGTCTTTGCTACCAAGCCTAAGGGGTGTGTTAAATCATATATGTTAGTATATAATTGTAAGCTTGGTAGTGGTTACTGAACATTTCTGTAGAGCGTACAACACTCCGGCTTCGGCTTACGACAGCGGTAACGGCAGCGGCCCCCGCCCTTTCGACTGCATGTCCAAACTCCGCGACAGGGGGTCGACCGACGAGAGTCAGGCGACGGCTGTGGCGAAGAGGAGGGGACAGAGGGAAGAGGGAAGGGGCAAGGCTTCGGATCTTCAGCGCGGCGCCATTGCTGGCGCGGCGCTTACTGGCGTGCGGGCGGGCTGCAAGTCTAGCAGCGACGCAGGTGGTGCGCGATGGCAACAGGCCGACGACACCGCCACGGCACCACTACGACGCCACCACAGCGTGGCGTCGGGGCTGCGGCTGCTCGTCGACGCTGAGACGACAGCACACAGAGGCCGCCACGGCATCTCGGAAAATGTGTCACGACGGCAGACAAAAGGAAGGCTGCGACGGCGGCGAAGGACAGGTACGCGGCGGAAGCGTGGCCCGTGCGACGCGACGGGGCCAGCGCGGATTGACGGGGCCAGCGCGGCGCGACAGGGCCAGCGCGGCATGACGGGGAGGGAGTGCGCGGCGGAAGCGAGGAGAGCAGGCCCGGGAAGGGAACCTGCTCTGATACCATGTCTGAAAACTAGGATCTAGGTAGGAGGACGAGCCATGGAAATGGCGTGAGGTTTTAGGGTATGAAAGTTGGTGAGAGAAAATAGTAACTAGAAAAGAAGAGAGAGGGATACAAGGAGGGGTGTTGTACCCTTTACAGAAATGTTCAATAACCACTACCAAGCCTACAATTATATACTAACATATATAATTTAGCAGTATTATCTCCACCTGCCTGGTACCATGGGACCACGACCACTCTATGGTGTCAACGATAGCTCATCTCCATTCACTCACTCACCTTGTGTGATGCGACAAGATACGGTATGTCAAGGGGGCGTGTGAGGAGCAGCAGGCATACGGGTTGAACATGGCCCATGCCCTCTCACTCACCCTGTGTGACGCAACAAGATACGGCATGTTGAGGGGGTGTGTGCGCACGTATTGCATTCGGTCCGCCTCCTCTCTCCCTCGGGCCCACCAGGTTATGTTGTCGTGCTCTTTCATTGCCAGCGTGCACTCCTTGATGCCCCGTTTGATAAGGCCCTGGGGGAAAGTCAACACGTGTCAACGGTAGTCAACAGAGGTCAGCTCGCTACCACCAGGTTATGTTCTCCTTGATGCCCCGCTTGAAAAGGCCCTGAAGGAGAAGTCAACAGAGGTCAATGGGAGTCAACGCAAGTCAACGGGAGTCAGCAGAGGAGAGTCAACAGTGCGAGACCAACAGACTATGTGGAGTCTGCTGGTAAGGAAAGTGTTCGAATCCTCAGAGCACTCACATGGAAGTGGTCATGTCTGAGAATGTCAGTTGACACATCCGCACCTCCCCCTTCAGGCTCCTGAACCACGTGGTTCTCCACCATTCGCACCTGTGATAGAGGGAAGGGGGGACAGTGGATGAGAAGTTCACTTTGAAGACAACAGAAGGTGAGGCTCCTCCCCAGTAACCCGACCCGAACCCGACTTTTTGACGGGTCGGGCCGACATTCGCGGAGGGTCGACCCGACCCTCGGGTACCCGACCCGAACCCGACTTTTTGACGGGTCGGACCGACATTCGCGGAGGGTCGACCCGATCCTCGGGTACCCGACCCGACCCAACCGACAAAACCCAAACCGTCGGGTCGGCTTATTACCCTTCCCTGCCCCTATGCCAGCCCAACCTGACCCGACCCAAAATCGGGTCAGGTAGTACCGGACCTATTAAACCCGGGTTGGGTTGACATTTCCCGAACTCTGACCCGACATGACCCGACCCGACCTGACCCGAAACCGGCATCGGGTAAGGCAAAGTTGGGTCGGGTCAGGTCGGGTCGGGTCGGGTTTATGCTCAATAGTGTCCTGCACCACGTGGCTGTCCTCCACTGGCACCTAAGAGGACGGGGGAGGTGACAGTGATCGGACAGCAGAGAACTGAAGATCGGCTTTCTAAGAAGAGAACTGAAGATGTGCATTTTCCCCTGTAGGGCCCTGAACCACGTGGTGAGTCTATTTTTCCCCTGAGGCGCCTCAAAAATATGAACCACGTGGTTCTCCTCCACTCGCACCTAAGAGGACGAGGGAGGAGGCTGTGGATGGAACGCATTTAAAGAAGGGAATTGAATACGAGGGGTTTTTTCTCCTCAAGGGTCCTGAACCACATGGTCAGGTCCGTGGCAAGGGCATTGCATGGCGGTGCACGAGCCCAATCACTACTACCAACCGCGTTGCGTTCTGAGAAACAGGCATACGCAATTCGGGATGCTTCGAGTTGCATTCACTGGAGAACAAGCTCACTCACCCTTCTGGGATCGACAACAACTTGCGGTGACCCAAGTGGTGGTTCAAGCACGTGTTGGTTGAACTAGCGTGTGCTGGTATGTGAAGCTAAGCAAGCACACACGTTCCCCACCATTTACAAGCAAGAAGCTCACCCTTCTGGGATCCACAAACAGCTTGCGGTGCCCGTAGTGGTCCAAGCACATGCTGGCTTTCGTGTTGTTGCCCTTGGCCCGACAGAAGATCCCCGGCCCGTGCCACAGCATGCGCTCCAGAGGCCTCCTGGGGTCTGCCATAGGAACAGAGATATAGACGAAGAGAGGAGGAAAGGACGGCTCGCTTAAAGCCACGGGTTGCATTGTTTAGCTTGCATGTTGTCTCACTAGTTCTCTAATCCGACGGGCACACATCACCTTATGCGATACACTTGCTTCAGACAAATGCTGAAGTATACGTTAAAAGACATACCATAAAGGACATACCATCAGGGCCTTCAGACGGCAGGCAGCGTTCACAGTCCCACCAGAGGCTCCCGTGGCTGACATAGGGCATGCCCTCATAGGGCATGAGGAAGTGATGCACGCTCAAAGGGGTGGGCATGCGCTCCTAGCGAAACAGTAAAAAGGAGAAGAGAGGAAAAAGGAGAAGGGTGTGTTTGGGGTTGGTGGGGGGGGGAAGAGAGGAAAGGGGGGGGAGGGGTTTGAGGGCGAGAAGAGGAGACGAAGGACAAAAAGGGATGCTGAGGTGGGAAGCGAGAAATTTGGAGGGTGAACTTCTGAATGGGACAAGCACAAGAGAATTGACAAGGACAAGGACAAGGACAAATCATGGAAGAATTAGGAGGAAAAATGACAAAAGAGATAAGACTACATGTGGGAAGGAGAAAAAGAGGGGTATAAGGTGATTATGTAACAACATGAAGGGGAAACTGGTGCTTACCTGTCTGCCAAAAAACATGAACTCGTCGAAATCAAGGTACATGAGCCTGCCTAGCTGTCCTTACTAGTCAACTGCAACATCCTTACCTGGCCATTTATGAAGATGAACTCGTCATAATCGAGGTACATGATCCACTTGGAGAGGGGGCGGAAGCGATACACACAGTCGTTCACTATCATGACCTGACAGGTAGGGGAATAGAAGGGAGTGAGGGAGGAACGGAGCAATACACACACTCATTCACTAGCGTGACCCGGTGGGAGGGAGAAGGAGATTGGGGGGGGGGAGGGGGGGGGAGATGGAGAGATACTCACATCCATTGACAATCACGACCTACTGAGGAGCCAGCGGCACACGGTGGAGATGATGCAGAATGCGACGAGCCGATCTCTCGACTGCCCGACAACCTCTCGTCTGCCGTTCTTCGCGTGGCGTTTAACGGCAGCGGATTCGACGATCCTGATGTTTGTCCGCACGGCGAGGCAGCTGTGCGAATGATTGGGCCTTAATCTTTGTGTGAGCGCTCGATCTTTCATCGCAAAGCTGCCTCGCTGCACTGACAAACATCATGATCGTTGAATTCCCTGCCGCTAGACTCCACTCGAAAAAAAACTGCAGCTAAGAGTTCCTCAGGCAGTTGGGAGATCAAGTCGCCACGTTCTGCATCATCCGCACTGTGTTCCGCTGGCTCGTCGGCAGCTGGAACAAATGGCATCGGCGGCTTTCGCGATCCCGTGTGCTTACAATCTGCCACGACTGTGAGCTGGGATAGACAGTTCTGGGCGTGAGCTGTGAAGTAAATATGCAACGGCTTGTTTTGTACGCGCTAACTACGCGTCATGGTAGAACAAGCAGGTAAGGCCCTTGGTATAATCGGCAATTGAAGCATGCAGCCAAGCATTTCCTTTACACAAATCGGATAACCTCTTATTGGATGATCCCAAAGCAGATCCTTGCATGCCTCACCTGCCCGTGATACCATGACTCATAGTTCACCACCTCCCGAAAATCCGTGATATCTGCAATCCCGCCATCTAGGAATGGCTGTAATTGGGAGGAAAGCAGAGAGGTAATGGCAGAGAAAGCAGAGAAACACCAGTCAAGGTGGGGGAACACAAAATATTGAAAAAAACAAAATAGGAGAAAGGCCTTCGTGCCAGAACTGGAAGCTAAGAGTAACATTAACCTATCATGTGGTGACCTCTTAAATCTCACAGTAGTGGTCAATTGTGAGCATAGCTTGTCGTCCACCCCTGTCACATCATGCATGGGGAGAGTAGTTGTGGGGTGGGGGGGTTGGGGAGTGGGGTGGGGGGGGAGGGAAGGAAACTACTGTGCTGCATACCTGGATGGCAGTCCGCAGGTGGTCGTCCACCCCGCCCACATCGTACATGGCATAGTGGTCCACACCCATCCGTATGTGCACATCCATCCATTGGTAGACGCGCTCCGCGTTCACCTGCAGCCATGCCACACATGCAACATGTTTAGCCCCATGCCCCATGCCCAATGCCCCATGCCACATGCCCCATATGCGGATTCATCATACCAGAAGGACGAGGGAAGGACAAGAGGAGGATGAGGGAGGGATGAGAGAACGAGTAGTGTGTGTGGGGAGACAGCAGTTACAATCCTGGTTATGAATGGGTGGGTGGGCTGAATGCGTGGATTGGGTGGGGGGGCTGAAGGTGTGGTTTGAGGGGCTAAAGTTGTGAAATTAGGGGCTTAAGGTGTGAAATGAGGGGCTGAAGGTGTGAAATGAGGGGCTAAAAGTGTGAAATGAGGGGCTGAAGGTGTGAAATGAGGGGCTGAAGGCGAGCATACCTGACCGTGTATGGGGGGAGAGCAGTGCGTGATGTTGTGGAGGAAGGGAGGATGGGTCACGGCACCAACCACATCCACGGGATGCTCCTCATACACCACCACGTCCTCCCCTTCCATGCCCATGTGTAATTGCCCTCCAAGTGCCACATACGCTTCCCTGAGCATCCACCATAAGGCATGGGGCATGGGCAACGGGGCACAGGAATGTCTGCTGATTAAACATCACCACATCGTCCCCCCACATGCCCATGTGTAACCAGCTGCCATCTGCCACATACGCCTCTCTGTGCATGCACCACATGACATGGAACATGGACCATGGGGCACAGCAATGACTGCTTCTCATACACCACCACATCCTCCCTTCTATGCCCATGTGTAGCCTTCCTCCATCTGCCAGATAGGCCGCCCAGCCATGGGTAGTTGGTCGTGGGCCATGGGTCATGGGACATGGGTCAAGGGACGTGGGTCATGGGCCATGTGATATGGGTCATGCGGCATGGCTTATGGGACATGTGACATGGGATGTGGGTCATGGGATATGGGCCGCGGGATAAGGGACATGGGTTATGAACCATGGGGGACATGGCACATGCAAAGCAACATCTCCCCGCTCTTGTCACTCACCTCTCGAGAGAGCACAGAAGAATGTGCCCAGCATATTTCAGCGAATGGTGTTCCCCCACGTGTACCTCCCCTCCTTCACATCACCATGTATCCACCCCCTACCTCTCAAGAGTACACAGCAGGATCAGCCCGGCATATTTCAGCGAATGGTGTTCCCCCACGTGTAGCTCCTCCACCTTGCCGTGTATCCACCCCTTCTTATTCACCTCCACCTCTTCCAACCTCCTCCCCTCCTCTCTCCTCGCCTCCTCCCCCCTCTCCTCGCCCAACAGCCTCCTCCTCCTTCTCCTACTGCCACTACCCTCTGTCGTGGCACTGGCAACCCTAACCTCCTCTCCTCTTGGCTCCTGTGCTTGCCCTAGCCCAGCTGGTTTTGCAGGCTCCCACATGCAATCGCCAACCTACCAAAGATTGCAACGCAGCACAAATAAACACATGACATAAGACAGGACACCACACTTGCATGCACCATGTTATACGTTGCTTCACCCTACCCAGCCGTCACATTCCTCACTTTGCCCAGAGCACGAACAGTCAACCCCACGACAGCAAACTGGTTGGGGGCGATTCACTCGCATAACTCACCTTCGTTCACTCCTCCCTGCCCTCACCTTTCTCACTTCGTCCATGGCACGAGCAGTTTATTTTTGAGGCGCCTCAAAAACAGACTCTTCGTCCATGGCACGAGCAAGCTGTTAGACGGGAGGAAAATCATTCACATCACTACCCACTCTCCGTTACCCCCCCCCCCCCCTTGCCCTCACCTTTCTCACTTCGTCCATGGCACGAGCCGCCAGCCCCACGACCGCAAACTGGGTGGGAGAGAGGCGATACGCAGAGAACTGCTCAAACGTCAAGAGCCTCGCACTGCCAATAGGCCTAAACCGATGCTGCTGCCACTTGGCAGGTGTGGTGCCACCAATGCTGCTTCTGCTGCCACTGCTGTCACTGCTGTCTCTACTGCTGCTGCTGCTGCTGCTGCTGCTGCCGCCACTGCTGCTACTGCTGCTGCCGCCACTGCTGCTGCTGCTGCTGCTGCTGCTGCCACTTCTCATGGTGACGGCAGCTGGAGCTGTATTTTCCCCTGCTGGTGGTGCTGAAAATGCACTTGGCACGGCTGCGGGCTGAAGACGTCAGTGGCAACAGGTGGGAATGGAATGCGCAGGGAAGAGATGTCGAGGAGGGGAGAGGGAGGGGGGGGGGGGGGGGAGGGGATGCATGCGAAGGTGACTCTTGAGTCGGCTCAAAAGTCTGCTGGTGATGTTGACAATGCACCAGAAAAGGCTGCAGGCTGCAGAAGTCAGTGGCAAAAGGCATGTGTGTGTAATGAGTCGATTTTTGAGTCGACTCAAAAAGTCAGTGGCAATAGGCGGGTGCGATGGGATCGAAGGTGACAGAGAAAGGTGTGGGTGGGGGAGGGGGGAGAAAGCACGCATGCGCAGACTAAAGCACAAGCAGGGGCACAAGCAGGGGCACAAGAATTGCAGAAAAAGAGCAGCTTGTAGCAGAGCAAAGAAGAAAGAGCAGGACCCTGCTCCACTAAAAATCACTCTTAGGTAAACGACAGGAAATCGAGCGTACAGATTGCATGGTGGGCCGTCGTGTAACCATTGAGTTCACTGGCCGGGAGAGCCGAGGAAGAGTGGAGGAGACAGCAGCACGGAGAATCGCCCGCTCCTCGTCAGTCTGGAAGATTGAAAAGACGTCGAACCAGAGTGTGAGCACCTGGGGGGAAGAGGGGGAGGGGAGGGGGGGTGGGTGAGGGGGGGGGATGCCTGACCAGAAATTATCAGGCGATTGCTCCTCGTCGGACTGGAAGACTGAAAAGGCGCCGAAGCAGAGAGCTGCCTTTTGAGTCGACTCAAAAAGAAGATTGAAAAGACGCCGAAGCAGAGAGTGCGCACCTGGGGGGAGGAAGGAAGATGGCGGAGAGGACACGGGAACGGGAACTGTGGGGAGATCGTGCTTACTGGTCAAGAGAACTGTCTGGGAGTGGGAGGGGCAGGGAGGCACGGAGAATCGCCGGCTCCTTGTCGGACTGGAAGTTTGAAAAGATGCCGAAGCAGAGAGTGCGTACCTGGGGGAGGGCGGGGGGGAAGAGGGGGAGGAGGGGGGAAGGGGAGATGGGATCATGGGAGAGAAAGGATGACCGGAAGGCAATTAGGCGATCGATCTTCGTCAGTCTGAAAGGCTGAGAGACATCAAACCAGAGAGTGAGCAGAGCACCTGGCGGGGGGTGGGGGGGGGAGGAGGGGAGAGAGAGGGGAGGACATGGGAAGTATGGAGAGAGATCTGTAGGAGTGGGGGAGGCAGCGGCATGAGGAATCGCCTGCTCCCCGCCCGTCTGGAAGACTGGAAACATGTCGAGCAAGAGAATGAGCACCTGGAGGGATGATGGGAGGGAGGGGGGGGGTTTGGCATTTCCACCCGGAACATGAAAAGAGCCTGAGAAAGACGCATGGAACGATGAGGTGGAACCAAACCAAACCGGACCAAGGTAAGCTGAGTTTGTCTTGACAGCAAGAGGCAGTTTAACATACCAGAATCATCGCCTACCAGTTTAACCCCATAGAGGCAGGACGGATGAACAGGCAAGACCTCACCTCATTCCTAGGCATGTTCAAATTTCGGGCCTCGGGCCGGCCCGACCCGTGCGTGACGGTCCGGGCTGGGCCTGGTCGGGCTCGGGCCAGGCCGGCCGTTAAAGGTGGCTGTGGCCCCTGGTACATGGTGGGCGGGGGGTAGGCCCCGCCCTCGGGCTCGGGCCGGCCCGAGCCTGTAGGGCTTCCGTTTGGGCCCGAATTCGACCTCGTCATCGGTCCGCGCGGGCCACGGGCCGGCCCAGCCCAAGGCGGCACGGGGGTCAAGGGGGCCCGAGCCCGGCATAAAACCGGACTTTTGTCGGGCCGGCCCGGCCCGAGCCCGTGAGATGAACATCCATACTCATTCCCCTGCATGCACGACCACATGCCAGCAAGAGGCAGAAGATTTTTCAGGCGCCTAAAAAATGTACTCATTCCCATGCCTGCATGCAAGACCACATACCAGCAAGAGGCAGACGCCCAGGATGATGAAGGGCGTCGATCCCTTGGGCACCTCCCGGCGTTGAATCAGTGAATGGCATCGCGTGATGATGGGTGCTGATGCTGGTGACGTCAGCAACCCATGCCATCCATCGGCTCCTGGTGATGCTGACGTTATTGCTGCATGCCATTCGTCCTTTTTGGATGTAGATCCTGACGTCACTGGATGCTGCTGCTGTTGCAGAAGAAGCGGTTCCTGCTCATCCTGCCATTGGCCGTGATGCTGCTGCTGGCGCTGCTGCTCCTGCTGCTGCTGCTGTTGCTGCTCCGCTTGCTGCTGCTTCTGTTGAAGAGGTGGCTCCTGCTGCGGCTGGTTACTATGATGGTCCTGCCATTGCCATTGGCTGCGATTCTGCTGCTGCTGCTGCTGCTGCTGCTGCTGCTGCTGCTGCTGCTGCTGCTGCTGCTGCTGCTGCTGCTGCAGGTGCTGATTAGGGCTACCGTCACGGTGGCTAGGATTGTGTGTATGACGATCCGGATGGTGGTTACCCGGATGCCCTTTCTCCCTCTCCTCTCGTTCACCCTCTTTTCCCCCTTTTTCCCTCTCCACTTCCATTTCTGCCATTAGCAGTGTACCTGGTGTCGATCCCAAGGGATTTTGAGACCAACAGCTGTGCGCCACAAGAGGCGGATTCTAAAGCGCAATCTGGACCTTATGAGGCAATTTTCTCAAAAAGTCCCACTATTTAATTATCAAGGCCTGATGCCATCAACCTTGTGAGCAGTAACACTCGACCTAGCAGCTGCGTCCAACCGCGTACATGCTCGACAGCCTTGAGGGCCTCTCATTATGTAGCATTCTGAGGTCGCTCTCATGAAATGAGCTCACCTTTGCATTTAGGTCAAATGAGCTTAGGTCACACGAGGTCACAGCTGTTCCCCCTCGTGATTTAGGTTAAATGAGCTTAGGTCACACGAGGTCAGTCTTCCCCTCTCGTGATTTAGGACAAATGAGCTTAGGTCACAAGAGGTCAGTCTTTCCCTCTCGTGATTTAGGTCAAATGAGCTTAGTAGGTCACACGAGGTCACAGTCTTTCCCTCTCGTGATCTAGGTCAAATATGCTGCTGCCTTAGTACGTCGTCGCTGCATGAGGGACGAGCTACGAACGTCGCCGCGTGAAAGCATGCATGCATGCATGTCAAAGCTCCTCAAAACGCGCCAAGCCGCACGCGGGAGCTCAGAATCGCGAGCTGACTTGTGAGTGAACTCAAAAGTCGCCCCAAGACGCACGCGGGAGCTCGGAATCGCGGAAACACAGCAGCACGAGGAATCGACTTGGCTGAAGAAACGTGGGGAATGAATCCCTGGCCTGCTGAAGGACCGTCCTGTGAAAGCTGTGTGCGGAAAAAAACGATATCAGTCCGGCTGATAGCTCCACTCGAGAGGCGTCTTGAGCGACGAGAGTCAGAAAACGCAGAGGGTCCATCAGGGGGTCCATCAGGGGGGACTATGATTGGGTCCGTCAGCGAGCCCATCGACTCCATTTCTCGGGGGACTCTTCGAGAACCGTTCTGAGCCTGAGACTCCCTCGCTCGCTCGTCACTCCCTCACTCGTCACTCGCTCGTCACTCACTCACTCACTCACTCACTCACTCACTCCGAGCCACTCCTCCGCTCCGAGAAAATCTCTGGAACGTTCTCCTCACGGCAGTCACCCACTCGTCCTTCATGGACGGCAGTTACTGTACCCCAAAAGAATGTGCGCCACTGTATCCACCACCACTCACATTCGTCGCGTACTGTAGGACAGTATTGTGCAGTAACACGTTTAGGACCGCTGCTCGCTAAAAGATGAGGTGAGCAAGCGAGCGAGCGAGTAAGCGACGGATGTGATATACGCACCGTCGCACGAGTTCGCATCGTCACATCACAGCCGCGAACGAAGATAAGGTTTCGCCGACCTGGCACAAGCCGGCAGCGGGTCGCAGCGGGTAAATCGACGCCAGATCGGCAGGTGGTAACCGAACAGGGTCGACACGATAAGGGCCCGTCCAATTTTCCAATCGGTATGTACGTCGTAATGGCGCTTAGCGCGTATGAGAACTGTAGACAACATGTGGGTCGTTGTGGGCGCATTACTGTAATTTACACCTGATACGCATTCAACAGTTACTTTATTTTAAAGCGGAAACATTTGTGTCGAGGACAACAACTATCAACACAGTTGGCCTTCTCGCGCGTATGTCGGACCAGGGTAAGGGGGTGTGTAAAGTGGGAACGGAGGCTTCTCGCCAATCCCAAACTCCATTTTTGGGTTGCGTAGCAACCTTATAAATTTGGTTTCATGTTTTCGTGCGCCAGGCTGTCCAATAACTTTAGGGCTACTACACTTGTAAAATGGTTGAATATTAATATTTTACACTCGCATAGTGTTGTTATAATACGACCCTTATGCTGTTTACTTTATATATGTTTTGCCTACCAATAGTCCGTCGATGAATACGGCGGACTAATGGTTTCAAAACATACATTCTGTCGCATTTTTGTCACACAAAATCAACCACGTCACATGGATCATACCACACCACAAAAAAAAAAACATAAAACTGCATGTTGAACATGCTGCGCACAATAATGTGGTTGTTCATTAGGGATTGGGGGTTGTGTACGATTGGTACAATTCCACCGTCGATAAATACGGCGGCAGAATCAAAGAACCGCACGCCAACACCAACCTTTTGAAACATCCACATACAATGCATATGTACAATAATATTGCATTGAAGAGATACACGAAAGCTTTCATGCTGCGATTGAGGTTGACATGCACGTTTTGAAAGCTTCGCTTTCAAGCCGACAACGACAACCACAATGTGCATGTTGCACTTGGCTTATATGCACCCCTCCAGGACAAACGCGTACGAATGTACAATGATGTCGTGAATGCAATGAAGTCATGCACAAATGCTTCCGTGTTGCAAGCGTGGTTGACATGTACGTTTTGGAAGCAAAGCTTTCGAAGCCGACAACGACAACCACAATTTGCATGTTGCACTTAGCATATATGCACCACTCCAATACAAACATGACATTAAAAAATGCACGACCACAAAACAATAGGCACAGTATGCAAACGTAGAATGCTGCCATGAATACAATGACGTGATACACGAATGCTTTCGTGCTGCAAGTGAGGTTGCCATGTACGTTTTGGAAGCAACGCTTTCCAAACCGACGACAACCACATTTTGCGTACTGCACTTGGCATATATGCACCACTCCAGTACAAATATGACACCACGATAACAGTAACGATTCAATCCATGCAATCCACATACTCACGAATAAAAAACACACGCATACACATATAATAAGGGAGGAGGGCGGAAGATAAGGGGAAGAGTAAGGGGGGAACCAAGAAGAGGACAAAGAAGATAGGGACCACACATCATGGGAGTACAAACACAACACACAAGAGAACTCTGAGAGAAACATGAAAGCCCAAATGTGCTGATCACTCAGATACTACTGGTTGCGGTGAAGCACACCCCCCCCTCTTCTCCTCCTCTCCTTACCTACTCTTTCTCCCCCCCCTTCCAATTCCAGCTTATCCCCTAAACCTCTCTCCCCCCCCCCACTCTTTGTCTTGGCAATGCACAAATGCAGTTACCAGTCGTCTCCATAGACTTGCACGCAACGGCGATAGGAAACAAACAGAATTTAGGGTTTAGAAAACCTATTGCAATAGTTGAACACTAGGTGCGCTAGCAATAAGTGCACTAATTTCGCCAAATGATTAAGAGATGGTAAACTAGTGGACAACGAACAAATGGGCTACCATTAGGAACGATTTCGGCCAGCGCGCTGACAGTTGGTTCGCTGATAGTGCACGGATGGTGAGTGCACAGCCAACTAGTGCGTGGACGACTATTAAGTGGGTGGCTAATGCACTGATGACTAGTATGCAAATGGCTAAAGCACAGATAGCTGGTGCGCATACAGCTAGTGTACGGACGGCTAGTGTGCCGAAGGCTAGTGTGCAGACGGCTAGTGCACACATAGCTAGTGCGCGGACGACAAATACGTCAATGGCTAGAGCACGGATGGCTAGTATGACGACGGCTAGTGCGCAGACGTCTAGTGCAAAGACACCTAGAGTGTGAACAACTAGTGTGCCGATGGCTTTTAAGTGGACGGCTAGTGCATTGATGGCTAGTGCGCGCACACTTAGTGTGGGGATGGAAAGCGCGCGCGTCAGCTAATGCGCCAACAAATTTTGTGGACGATTACATCTATGCAAACTACTACTTGAGCGCGGACGACTAGTGTGCGAAAGTCTAGCGTAAGGACGAGTAGGGCACAGACGTCTGGTGTGTGGACGTCTAATAAGCGGACTTCTAGTGTGCGGATGGCTAGGTGCTGCTAGGTGTTGCTAGGTGTTGCTAGGTGTTGCTAGGTGGTGCTACGTGCTGCTAGGTGCTGCTAGGTGTTGCTAAGTGCTGCTAGGTGCTGCAAGGTGCTTCTAGGTGCTGCTAGGTGTTGCTAGGTGTTGCTAGGTGCTGCTAGGTGCTGCTAGGTGCTGCTAGGTGTTGCTAGGTGCTGCTAAGTGCTGCTAGGTGCTGTTAGGTGCTGCTAGGTGCTGCTAGGTGCTGCAAGGTGCTGCAAGGTGCTGCTAGGTGCTGTTAGGTGCTGCAAGGTGTTGCTAGGCGCTGCTAGGTGCTGCTAGGAGCTGCTAGGTGTTGCTAGGAGCTGCTAGGTGCTGCTAGGCATTGCTAGGTGCTGCTAGGTGTTGCTAGGTGCTGCTAGGTGCTGCTAGGTGCTGCTAGGTGCTGCTAGGTGCTGCAAGGTGCTGCTAGGTGCTGTTAGGTGCTGCAAGGTGTTGCTAGGCGCTGCTAGGTGCTGCTAGGTGCTTCTAGGTGCTGCTACGTGCTGCTAGGCGCTGCTAGGTGTTGCTAGGTGATGCTAGGTGCTGCAAGGTGCTTCTAGGTGCTACTAGGTGCTGCTAGGTGTTGCTAGGTGTTGCTAGGTGCTGCTAGGTGTTGCTACGTGCTGCTAGGTGCTGCTAGGTGCTGCTAGGTGCTGCTAGGTGCGGCTAGGTGCTGCTAGGTTCTGCTAGGTGCTGGTAGGTGTTGCTAGGTTCTGCTAGGTGCTGCTAGGTGTTGCTAGGTGTTGCTAGGTGCTGGGGTGACTATGTGAAACAAGAACAAAGAGCTTGAGAAGTGCAAAGGAAACGCCAGAAGGGGTTGGTCTTGGCGAGTGGTAGAGGTTGAGGGCTCACAGTAAGGTGCGAGAGGATGCGAGCTCGGGTGGCGAGTGAGTTCTTGCTTGATGCCCTGAGAAAGCAAGTCTGAAATGGTACAAGAGTGAAACGAGGGAGGAGGAGGGGAAGCAGGGTGAGAGGGAAGGAAAAGGTTCGTCGGTGAAAAAAAATGGGAGGATATGCAAACTATATTGAAAAAAAACATTGTGCAAGGGGTATAAAGAAACAACTGCAGTGGAGGAGAGGGAAAAGAAACAAGCCAACGAGCGGAAGGGAGGGAAAAAGGGTAGTTGGGGGGCTTAGGAACCATCGCGCACGACACAAATGAGATAGCGCGATGTGCGGACGTAGCACAGAAACGGCTGCGCCAGAGCGCCAACAGGCCGCGCCACGAAGCGCGGCGCATGTGCGCATAAGGCCAGCGCGCGCACGGCGCCAGAGAGGGCCGCGCCAGAAAGCGCGGCCCCTGCGCGCACGGCACCCGCCCGCACGGCACCAGCGAGCCGCGCGCCAGAAAGTGCGGCGCCACCGCGCACGGCGTCCGCGGACACGGCGCCAGAGAGGGCGGCGCCTGTGCGAATGGCGTCAACGCGCAAGGTGCCAGGGAGGGCCGCACCAGAAAGCGCGGCTCTTGCGCGCACGGCACCAGCGAGCCGCGTGCCAGAAAGCACCGCGCCTGCGCGAACGGCGTCAGCACGCACGGCGCCAGAAAGGGCTGCGCTAGAAAGCGCGGCTCCTACGCGCACGGCGTCCGCGCTCACGGCAGCAGAGAGCCGCGCGGCACCTGCGCGCACGGCGTCTGCGCTCACGGCACCAGAGAGCCGCGCGATGAAAAGCGCGGCTCCTGCGCGCATGTCGTTCGCGCGCACGGCACCAGAAAGGGCCGCGCCAGAAATAGCGGCGCCTGCGAGAACGGGGCCTGAGAGGGCGGCGCTACTAAGCGAAAAAACGGCGCTCACGGCGCCAACGAGCGTGGCAAGCTGCAGTTAATGGAACATATATAACTAAGACGAGCTAACAGCAGTGAAGAAGATGATGAAAAGAATCACGAACCAAGAAAAGTAAGCTAGCTATGAGCTTGGTAAGGCACGACGCAGAGGGGTAAGAAGCTGACATTGTGAGAGCCAAGTTAGACGGTGCAAGAACGAGCAAGAACGAGCTATGGAGGAGTTGGCTAGTGAGTCGAACAGGAAGGAGGGAGGGACGAAGAGTGCCGTGACTCAGCGCTGGGGAGCGTTCGCCAGCGTGGGAAGGCAAGCTCACATCAGCACAGTTACGAAATTTATGGAAGGCATCATTCTACACCAAAGGGAGTGTTACGAAAACGGTTGCTCATAGTATAATATTCTGGTCTACTTAAAAAAAATGCATCGAAGATTCACCAGAATTTTTAATAATAAAAATATGAGACAATTTAGTATTCTTAAAATTTTGAAATCCAGTCGTAGTAGGTTTTCTCCTTGTTTTGTATTATTACAAAAATATAGCCTATGTAAAAGAGTATGCATATAAAAAATAGGT